ATAGTTTCTTTCATTAAAACTTCAAGGAGTGAGTTTCATAATGGGGGTTCAAAAGCGATGTAAAATGCGTGTGGCTGTCTCTGCCTGCCTCCGCCATGTGACTGGGCAGTAACCGCGTCACCTGGCGTCGTGGGTGTATCTGGAAATGTGGATCGCCTGTCGGCCGTCACGCTCACAGCGGCGATAAGGAGAGACGCGGAGGCTCACTGCTGACTTCCACACGAGCCGGCGCTTCTGTTCACTGCTCTTCAAACACTTGAAACACTCTGACTTTGATTTCCTGTTGACATCCTGAATATTTATGGGCAGAAAATAAGGCGCCATGAGTGTTTCCAAGGATGCGTAAATCAAAAAAGGTAATCCTATGCATTTGCACTCTGATCAATACGTTGTATAAACAATGGATCAAATGATAATGGTGTAGTTCTCTTATCAACCCACTTTCCTGGTTTGCTCCACAGGGCCGTTCCAGGTCACAGCAGGTGGCTGGTCTCAGTTGAAGAGCTCAAAAATCCCAATACCTGAACCTAATACCATGTCACATCTAGTGAGTGCCCATTGGACACAGTGGTGAATCCCAGAGTTAAAACGCCGGAACATTCCCCTCAAGAGGTGGTAACAACGACGGCGAGTCAGCATTAGACCTAACACGAAGACACGTGGAACACTTTCCTACCACAATTGGTAAAATATGCCAATGTTGTGCTACAGTCTGCCTTGAAATAGTAGTAAAAAATATACATGATAAAATTTTAAAAGAATTTATTACTGTGAAAATGAATTCAGTTTGTAACCAGCCAAATCATATTCAACGACCATCTTTCCGGGATGCTGCAGACCTTGAAGAGCGACAGCTCTTTCCTTCAATGAGAAGCTGCGAATGGCTTCTGCATAGCAAGGAAGCCCCCCCCCCCCCCACCCCCCCACCCCCTTTGGTGAATGGGACGGTTATTGATCTCTCTTAAGAAGCTCTTTGGTAAGAAGGCCTCAACCGGCAAAAAGACGGTGAGTGTGAACTCCTCCGCGGCTGCAAAGCGATGAGTAATAACGCGTGTGTGGGTGTGATCACGAAGCCAGCAGGCTGCCGATATCTGGAATTAATGATAGATGTACCTTGTGTGCCTCTAACTTTCCCAATCTTTCCCTGTATTAATAGATCCCGAAGGGCAGTGTGAGAGGAAGCAACAAAACCCCTCAGCAACCCCAAAGGTAAGGGGGTGGTCCAAGACGAAGACGTGTGAGAAGGGTGCCGGGCGGCAGGAGCGAAAGGTTCTGATTGTCCCATGATAATTGTTAGAAAGGTCAGTGTCCTTCTCGCCCACCCGCACACACACACACACACATCCGCACACACACACGCCTCCTGCTGGGGTGCTCTTTACAGTGATGCGGCTGCCTTTAGAGAGTTCTGCGGAATAGGCTCCCTAAATACCACGGCATTGTGAGTCGAGGAGGGAAGAAATTAAAGGAAGAAAAGAAGGATCAGTGTGGACGGTAGACGGTTCCCATCGCCGGAATCCCGCTGATGCCCAGCGGGGATAAACGGTGCCTCCTGTGGCTGTACTCAAGTCAATGATGAGGTTCAAACTGTTGAAGACCAGTGAACTGCCGTGTAGAAAAAAGTCTGTGGCTAGAATTGGAAAACAAACAATTGTTATTTTCTGAGTCCAGGAGTAAATACTTCTTTAACATTCCACCAGGCAGTAGTTGTATTTTTCTGATTTGCTGCCGTGGCTAAAAGGCGCACGTGCATGCACACAACATCCTGTCCTCGGAATATTTCAGTGCGTTCTCCAAACCAAGAGTGTGCAGTACTTAAACATTTGTCACTTCTCAACGGACAGAACACAGTGAAACGGGGTCACAGGAGCCGGGGAACAGATGCTGCTTTATGGTCGCTCTGTTTCTGTGACATTTATCAAAGGATAATGCCATCTCCCTCGGAGGGGAAGATGCTGGCGAGGGAGGTTTGGACGATAACAGTTTTATCCAGATCGCCTCGTCAGACTGGCTCTGGTCATAACCTCAACAGAATCAATGACGCGCGATTTTGTATGAAAAAATAATAATATAAAATTGAGAATGTACGTGAACGTATGTGTAAGTGAATACTTGACTGCGTGTGGTCTGTTGCTTGATCAATCAAAGCAACGTCAAAAAGCTTCGACAGGTTTTAACATCAACAAGGGTAATGACTACTTTCATAAAGGTCAATGCATGTAAAAGAGTGGGCTTTATTTCAATAGTATGAGATCGATGCTGATTTGAATCAGCTGATGGAGCATCATTGCAGGGGAAGGAGAAAGCAGCCTGCTGCCAACCAGAAAAAAAAAATCGACACTATTGACGAGGTTGAAGGAACTCGAGGCTTTTGGGGAAACAGCCAACGCGGTTCTTTAATTGGCAGCCCAGTTTAGTACGCAGTGTAAGAGCGAGACACGCACGCCCACTAAAACGCATTCTATTACATCACCAGCCGCCGAGTGCATGTCGAGGTCCGTCCATCTGTTGTGGATCCCTCGGCAGCGCATCTTTAAAGATGCATTCAGGCGGATGTTTTTTTTAAGCACCCCTCGCTTATTTTACCAACATTGTTCGCCCACCTTTATTTTTATGACATTGGGAATCTTGCTGTGTGCAGTTGCAACTTGGCGATCCTCCTCTGACCGAACTTTTTCTTTCCACCGCAAATTTACTTTGTCCGATCCGTTGTTTTCCAATTACGTCCCCGTCCCTGCCAGCAGGAAGTTGTCGGCTTCGGTTATGTGAACTCGCTCTGGGGGTCCGTAACCAGGGGCGATGTTTGACGCTTGGAACAGCATTCATACCCATTAAAAGAGGAAGGCGGGGGGAATTATCGTCCCGCGCAGATGATTGTGTTGCGTGGGATCGGTTCGGCCGCGCTTGCTGCGTGTGATGACATAACTGCAGCTGCACGCAGAGTGGGAGTCTCATCTTCCCTTTGAAAAAAGCTGTGGTTAAATCGATGGTGGATTGCACACGAAGCAGGATTCTACATCTCGCCCTCGTTATCACTTAATCATTCCGCGTTGCGTTGTTACCTCACACCTGTGTTCAATGTTTGACCACCGTTCAAAAGCGCACGGCCGCGCACATGGGAACACACTCATGGTAATTGTCAGAAGCCGTCGGCTTTCCGCGCCGCGCTGCAATTAAGATGGAAGATGCTGAACTGAACCTCAAGGAGAAGATTACACCCACGGAGTGGGTGAATACTAGAGATGAGCACAACAATGGAAGCTAAATTGAACGGGACGCGGGGCAGCAGCGGGAGAAGGCTGCAGAATCAATGTCTGCCAGTGGCTGTCGTATTAGCCGTGATAGAAAAAAGGCTGCGGGCAGAAACTGGAAGTCGAGGCAGGACATTCTAATGATAAAGCGCTGGGTAATCGGACACAATGGATTCTGGGAAGGAGAGGCAATTTGTTGCCATGGATCCAAGAATTCACATATTGACCTGTTAAACATGCAACTAATGGATGATATATTTGGTTCATAACTGTGATGAAAACCCATTTGTTCTATTGTTTTAAACCAGAAGACATTGGAGTGATTGGAACAATGAACCATGGAGAAATGAATTGCTGCACTTGTAGCTTTGGCGCTGTACATAAACAGCACTCCATGGCTCAGTATTTCTTCTCCTAATGGACAGATGACAGTTGAAGCATTTATAGCTCAAAGCAAGTATATATATATATATATATATATATATATATATATATATATATATGCCTACAACCACACAAACAAACCGTAGGAGATCCTACTTTTGAGCGCTGGGGAATCGCACTCGTATCTGTCAGTAAGCCGGTTTCTGACAGGTTAAGAGCAATTTCCGCCAACTAGCTGTGACGTTGTAAAAGGAGACAACAGAAACTTGGCGAGGGCGTTTTGATGGATAGTAAACTGTCTTTTAACGGCCTTGGTGCACAGCGCCGTGGCATTTACGTTAAGTATTCTGTATTCTGTGGAGTTACGAATAAGTTAACAGTCACAAGCCTGAGCAGCCCTCATGGATATGAGTACGCTAAGCATAGCATAGCATAGCATAGCATAGCATAGCATAGCATACAAACTGATTCTGGAAAAAATAAGTGATTTTGCAACAGAAAAACGTTTTTCTTTTGGACACACTGAATCAATTACTTCATTTCGCTACATTTACAATCAACGTTAATATAAAAAACACCAATGGATAAACACGTTTTATGGTTACCGCCGTGGCAAGACGTTTATTAGTGAAATAACTACTAACTATCAGACTCTGAGAAGCCATTTTCTGGAATGGATTTACTATCAGCAGATTAAATGTCACAGGCAGCCACACTATAATGGACGATTGCAAAATGTCAAAAACTGAAGATGCGTAGACCTTTTTGTCAACCTTCTTAGGTTCAACAATTTGCTGATTTTAGTGTTGCTTTCTCCTCCGCCTCAGGAGCCACAACCTTAACACCAAAGAAAACTTTGAAAAATATTTAGGTGAGAAAGAAAAAAAAGGTTAAATTCCCCCCGCGAGGCCTCGGTTGGGTTGATCCTGCAGCACATTCCTCTCCTGCTCTCAAGTCTCCTCCTGCCGTCTTCATTCAGGAGAAATAACTTCCCATTCTTTGAAATGGAAAACTGTTGCTGAAGGCTTTTAGAGTGCACTTAATATTCATTTGAACTGGAACAAGCAATTCTGTTGCTGTAGGCGGGCGCTGGTGACAAAGCTATTTTCCCCCTCGCAGTACATATTCACATAATTCCCTCCACAAACCTCCGAGGGAACAGTTTCACCATTAAACTATAGAACGTTGCTGCTCGTGTTCTGTAGGACAATGCCTCCGACTCCTGAATCCTTGTGGATATCATTTAAAATGAGTCGTAGCTTCTCTTCAGCAGCATGTGTCCGTTTCCAAGTTTACGTCTCTTCAGTGGGGTCCCCCCCGGGGTCCCCCCCCGTGCAGCTGGGGTGCTTTTTAGGTTCCACCTACCTTGTACAATGAGGTAGACCTGTGAGGTCTTGGACTGCTGCTTGGTCTGTATGGAACAGATGTACGGACCCTCGTCAAACACATCCACCTACGGACAGCCCAAGAGACGAGCACATTTTAAGTTGATTTCAGTCAAAATTTATTTTCATGAAAGGATGAGTTCTTCTGACTTAAAATGATGAAGGAAGTGATCGAGCTGCCGAGAGGTCCTTCAAAAAATGTAATCAACAACTTGGTGTTATAGTGGATGACAGAGTAATGATAAGAACAAAAACAACACAGTGGGTTATGCAAGACAGTTTCTTTTGGTGTGATTCAAATTGAGGAAGATACACATATTCATTTTCGGCCAATGGCTAAATGAACAATTGGACATAGCTGTCATATAAGAGCACAGGACTGGTTTAAGATTTCCCACCCTTGCTCGTGCTTCCTCCGGCTTCTTTTAGTGAGCACACAAGCTCTTGTCTCCCTAAGATGTAAAATATTCCTTTAAGGATAAAGTGATGCTAGTAGGTTTGTTTATTCATCTCGTCATGGGTTGAAGGCTATAAAAGCCCTTCAAAATAGTGCATAAAGTACACACAACCTGTTGCATAAATAAATAAATGGATGAATATTTGAAAATAACAACTCCAGGGTCTTAAAAGTCAAAAGAGCTTATTAATGTAATGTCTCATGATTTCTGAATAGGCTCCTTGGAACAAAAATCTGTTTCCTATTTCTAAATGCAGCTCACCATAACCCAGTTAATGATTATTCAAAATAAAAGTATATATATATAAAAGAGGGTCCAGTTTGTAGGTGAATTACCTTCTGAATGCGCAGGCTGTACTCCAGCTGTCCCTTGGTGACCAGGTCTACCCTGGGGTCCAGGGACCACTTGTCCTGGCCGGCAAAGATGATGTTGGACCGGTTGAGCCAGGCCGCCTTTGACACTTTGTCGTCCACGTAACACCTGCAGGCACAGCGGGAAACCAGTGAGTCAACGGTTCTGACGAAGGGATCCGGAGCGAGAAGCCTTGAAAAGAAAGAGCGCGTAACGTCGCTCATTTCACAACATGTTATCTAGAAATGTGGGGTTTTGTCGATAGGAAATAAACAAAAAACAGCAATGAAGGGATCTGACAGAGAAGCTGTATGAAAGAGGCGTTTATGAGAGTTTAAGGCACAATTATTTTAAAACAACAGGGCCCAGCCGGGTATATTTCAACGCAACTCATCCGTGTTGTGTTTGTCAGTGCTGAGCAGAAAGGATGTTCCAGAGTCAGTTAAGCTAAACACACAACTCAGCACTCCCACTTTCTGGGGCCTTAAAAGAAAAGCTAAAGATTTATATTTCCCATCGTCGATTCATCCCTTTTCACTCATTGACTTTGACTCTAATAGCGATCGCATTGCTGAGGACGAGAAAGGACGCCGGCGCCTCCTCGTTTACTCCTTGTTGCGCGCTGTCAGAACATTACGCCGAGTAAGCTCGAGCTAAGACATCTCGGGGCGGGAGGTTGGTTCGCTCGCTTCGACATCAAACCTCTACCTTGCCGACATGAGGAGCTGTTGCCTTCTGCTATGTTGGGGACAATCGATTGCTATCGACAGTTCAGAGACTGCTGAACTCAGTGAGTAATGAGATTATTCATGCATTAATATGTTAATGATCTAGACTGTAAACTGAGTTGGTAATTGAAAGAGGCAGCCATTGTAATAGAATTCAGCTCAGAAAAATAGAAAGAATGAAAAATGTCACAAAGCGGTAGAACAATATCAAACGGAATAATAAATAGAACTGCAAACCAGTTGTAAAGAGGCTTATTTGAGGCACTTGTTTCTTGTTCCTCTGAGTTTGTAACCCTATGGTTGAATGCACTCATTGTAAGTCGCTTTGGATAAACGCGTCTGCTAAATGACGTGTAATGTAACGTAATGTAAAGAGGCCATCGCGGTGACGCGCTTTCCGAAAGGGATCTTCCCTGCCATGAAACCTGGAAAGGGCTCTGCTACGATGGATCCTGATCCCGTCTCTCAAGATCTCTGGGAAAAAAGTTTGCAGTGCATGAAGGAATATGGTGAGGTACTAGAAGAACCCTTCGCACTGAAGGATGCACCCAATTCTCCCCCCTGTGTCAGTGAGTCAAGCAGTTTTAAGGGTTAATTGCACTCACACTGCGAGAGCATCTTGTGAGCCCTCAGATAAATACAGGTGTCTGGGACCGTTAATCGTCCAAATGTTCCTAACTGTATTACGTCGTCTCAGCGCTCCCCATTTAAGTCAAGGAAGTAGATCCCGAACACTTTCATCACCCCTTCCCTTCCCCACTGGCATCTCATCACTTTGCACTTCAACACTTCAACACTTCTCACTACCAGTGTTTTCTCTGCTGCCTCTATTCCTGCTTTCTGCTTCACTCCCATGTAAGTTCCTGCCCACCTTTCCATCAGCACGGGGAAAAGTGGACAGCGTGAAATAGAAATCACAGGATCTATTTTAACAATCTGGACCTCAGATCGGGTTGCCCTCCGCTTGGGTTCGGTCCTCCACAGAAAGTACCCGAAGCCTCCGCAGAGTTCTGACGGTGCAGGAAACAGAGCGTGCTGAGTTGTAGTCCTCGGGGGCCGACGCTCCGCTTGACCAGAATCAGAAAGAAGAGCCCGTCTGCCCCCCAGCTGGGAAACCAGGTACATTCAACAAGTCGCTTTCACGGAACTCGATGTGATTGGAATAGCGAGCCACGGTTCAACGAGTTGCAATGAGAAGCCGGCGCGTTTTACCGGCTGCAGCCCTCGCAATGATGCGGCATCGCAGCGGTGTTATTTAGCCAGAATGGCTTCATTCATTGGAATCTTTGGCAAGATAAATAAATAAATTGGCCCCTTTTTGATCACAACGGCATCCCCATGTTTGCAGTACTCAGCCAAATCCTCTCCAAGCCCATAATCCGCTGCAGAATACACAGTCTCAGTTTAAACAAAAGCACATTTTTACTCATGCATGTAAATAAAAAGCCCCGCTAAATGCTGTTTTTTTACTCGGTGTACAAGGGGCGTTGTGTATGGGTCCCGGGGGCCATCTTTACCCGAGGTCAGCTCGAGATGGACGCCTGGTTCGGTGTTACCGTGAGTTTTGTTGACGGAGGCTTTCTTTCTACCCCGCTGTGCTGAGCCAATACGGACGGGGTTGACAGGAGGCTCTGTGACAGAGCTGCTGAGCTGGGCTTGTGTTGACAGGAAGGCCGAACGGATCCCTGCTCCGGGGGGCTAGCCGTGGGGGAGGACCGAGGAGCGGGCTACAGCCGGAGGGGGAAACTGTAATGAGACCAACGACGTGCCGGGGCCTGACGGAGGACCCCCCTCTCCCCCGCAGTACCCCCTTTCTCTCTTTTTCCTCCTCCTGGTTGTGCTCGTTTTGCGATCTGCTCGCCCCCCACTTCGACATTCTGCCTCCATCGTATTCCCCTCTCCTCAGCTTCGGTTCCTCTTAGCCTCATAAATGCTGGGCTTCCTGCCTCACTGAAGACTGTGCGCATGTATGTGGATTTCAGTGTGAGTTGGAGAAAATGCTCCGTCTGTCAAACAGAGAAAATCTCAAGTCAAACAACTTGTTTCAACAATCAACAAGGACCAAGGAAACTCTGCCTCGCTGCAACCGGGTGGGCAAGATCCATTTCGCAGGGGGACCAGCGGACAGAGATGGGAGACAGAGAGATTTCCAATTGGACAAACCAACAGAGAGAGAGAGAGAGAGAGAGAGAGAGAGAGAGAGAGAGAGAGAGAGAGAGAGAGAGAGAGAGATGTGGCCTAGATTTAAAGAAACGGGAAGAAAGAAGAGAACAGAAACGTAAGCCATGAGCAGAGCTAAAGCTGCATACTAAATCAAAGAGAGGTCATTCCTTTAAAGGCCTCAAAGCAGTTTCTCGCCCCAGATATCTTCTTTCCAGTAGGGGCTGTTCATCCGCTTGGCTCGAGGGGGCATGAAAAAACGAAGCATTCGTTGAAATAACTGTTCAAGCGCCGTAGGATTGACCTTTCGCCTTTTTTATATTGGACAGACAGGAAGTGAAAGCTACGCAATTAAGCAATTGACACCCAAAGCGAGTTGCTGTACCAAGTGGAATCCCAGAAACACAAACATTGCACGAGGTGGATGTATTGTGGCCGCGATGCATATGTGTAGGGTTACGTCACCCTGTGTTGTGTTAAACGGCAACAAAATGGTCAAATTAAAATGAGGTATTTGCAAAATGGTGTTAACACGAGTGGCCAACAGCTCACACGAATTATTCTAAATGCAGGTGCAAAGGTAGTTTTGCGAATGTCTCTTTGCAGGTTTAATGAATCATTAAAAAAAGGATGTGTGAAACGGTTTCCTTTGATTAATAAGGATCTTAAACAGAGCTGTTATAAAACAGGAAGAAAACATTCTGTGGACACTAAAGAGACCCTCGTCTTGAAAAGGAAAGACACCTACAGAGAGACCTGACATCTGCCCCAACACTCCTGAAGGGAAACCCGGGATCCAAATCCCCATTCATGTCATAGAATGAGAAAAGACTTGAAGGAACCTTTGTTCCACTAGATTTCTCTTCTCTTCTTCAAAGTCCACAGATCCTCATAGAACCCTCGCATCTCGGTTGGCACGCCGGTTGAGGGGAGTGCGGGGGGGTAGGGCGGGGGGGGGAATTATCCTTTAAATACGGTTACAAACAACTTCGGAATGTGCTTGATTCCGATGGCATGAGATCAATCTACATCCGTGCGAGTCGCGCCGCGTATTTCCAAGTTCCTGAAGCCTCTCCAAGAAGACGCCGCGAAGTAGACGGCTTTACATCTCCACGGCAACCGTCGCGTTGGCATGGAGAGGAGAGCAGAGGCCTGACGTGCACTGCTGCAGAGAGCGACATGTGACTGCTGATCACAGCTCGCGCTTGTACGCGTGAGCGCTTCTCATGCGGCCCAAAAAGGCGATTGCGACGGCTCCCCAGTTTCCCCTTCCCTTTCTCTGCGTTGTGTCCTTGAACCGGGTTGGGGGATAACTGCAACAGCACTGTATCCTTTGTGGATGTGCACCAAAGAAATGATGTCTTGCACGGCATGGCATGAGGATATCGCCGCGATGCGCGTCGCTGCCGATGAATCTTAACCCAACTGCCTCGTTCTTACGCTCTGAAATGAAATGCGGCATCATAAATTCCGTCTGAAATGAAATGGGCTCATTTGAATTGGTTGGGATTGATGTGTTGTGGGAAAGCTTCTAATGCTGTATAAAGTAAAACTACAGGGAAAGCCACAACAACATCGATTGGACTCCAATCCAATATAGCTGCAGCAAAGCCCCGAAAGTCGCACCAAGACGAATCAGGAGCTTTGCTTTTCCTTTTCTTACCCGTAGTCTTCTTCATCTTATGAGATGAAACTCCCGACAGGAAGAAGTGTCAATAGCTGAACCGGTTGAATCAGAGCGTTTCGGGTTGTTTCATCAAAATTTGCCGTTTGAGAATTGGCTTTTCTAGCCTTTGCGACAGCAATCAGCATTCCTCCCTCGCAGGCTAATCTTTGAAAGCGCAGCCTTTATTAAGTGGTGGTTAGAGACGCCGGCCAACGCTGCCTCCACGATGTGCAGCGCGTGGGTGGACTGCGAAGGTTAGCCGGCAGCGGTACCGCGGTCGCCGCATCCAACGCGCCGCCGACAGGTGTCCCGTCGTCTGAGGAGGTCACAAAGGTCTTCTGTGGTTTGTGTATGTATGTATATATATATATATATATATATATATATATATATATATATATATATATATATCAAATAGCACTTCCTGTATCATTTTACACCAGGAAACATCAGGATCAGGATTCTTTTTCCAGTCATTGTTGCCCCTGTTGAAGCTCAGGAGAGAATCTTGTCATAAACAGCTGCTCTGTATGAAAAGTGTCTGATAACTCAAATATTCAAATTCATTTGAAATA